GTTTCTAATTTTAAATAATAAGGATTAGTTTTTAAGTGAATTTAATTGCTAATTTCTTTCTTCTAATCTCATTTTATGGCATATTAAATATCATGTCTATTCTTGGTTATTTTCAACTCTTAATGCCTTGTAAATCCATGTGTTTGTCGCTACACGAAAAAATCATAGGGTCGACATCAAACTTTATTTATCCTGAAGATAAAAGGATACATCGAGAAAACCCCAAGAGGAAGCATAAGGTGGTCTCGCAACCAAGAGATGGGTTCAGAAGTCGGTTATGCAAGGGAAATGTATTAGTACCCTTCACATCCATCATACTCGATGGGAACTATTTGCTTGTCTTATGTGTAAGGATGTTGCTAAGGGTTTGTGCTTTCTATGAATGCTTTATAAAAGGAAAAAAAGTTTTAAATTAATGTGCTCGCGGAGGACTGAGGTCCTCGTGCCTATCTACCCTCATACTGTAATGAGAAAATCAGAGCTCCGTAGTTCATAACTAAAGGCGGAAAAGAAAGAAGGTTGCTCACCAAGATCTCACAATCTTGTACCTACGTATCCTCTCGTGCAATGAGGAAGTCAAATCTCCGTAGTTTGTGGAACTAAGGGTGTGTTTGTTGATTGATTTTATTGAACGGTATTAATGTTTGCGTTATAACAGTTAAGCGTTGCTTGTATACTCGTGCATGTGAGGCTAAGCGTTATTTGTATTGCGATAGAACAGAAGTGACATGTCCTTTTATTAAAAGGTTTTTGGAATGCCCTGAGGCAAAAAATTGATTTGATGAATTGAGTTTGATTTTAAGGGAGAGATAAGTCCTCGGAAAGGAACCCCTGCAAGTAGTATCCAATTCTTTATCTCAAAAGATTTGCTTGAAAAAAAGATGTGGAGAGTATAGTCACGTCTTCGTATTTAAAGACGAGTATCAAGACCATACACTCTAAAGTGAGCATCCCAATACTCGAAGAAGAAGAAGTTTTCACTCAATCCTCTATTTTTAGTCCGAAAAGCTAATCAACAATTAATCCAAACAAGCCATGTAAAATTTAATTCACACAAGCTAGGGGAGGTGCACCAGTGATGGATGATGTGCACAAAGGAAGATGGCTTAGGGCCTGGCCCATTGGCCTCATTCCAAGTCAAACTAGGGGGATGTAGAACAAAAACAGGGCACAAATATCATTTCCATGGGCCTACAAGCCCAACCCAGCCCAGGGAGGAAAAGAAAAAAATGAAAAAACTAGCTATGTACATTGCTGCTCCTTAACGAGTAATTCGTTCATTCCGCTGTCCCTCAAGATTAATTTTCCTCTCTTCTTTTTCACGAGTAACGACGCCGGAACACGACCGTCTCCGCCGCGCCATGGCCTCCCATCCTCAATCGCATCGCTCCGCCATCTCCTTATGTGTTAGTTTTGAGGTTATGAAAGTTAGTTAGGAATTGGTTGCAATTGGTTAGGAAAATCTGTTAATTGATTGAAATCCATATGAATTGTTGTGAATAGATGCCTGAACCAAAAGATGAGAATTAGTTATGATGCTTGAAGTTAATTAATTGATTACTAATAGATATTGGTCATTAGAGACTTAGTTAATGAAAACAGCCCTTGTTAATTTTTGTTAATTTTCATGCTTGATTTAGTTAATGCCTGGTAAGTCAATTGTTAATGTGAAACAATTAGTTAGAGTGAAACTGTCACACAAATTTGAAGTAGCTAGTTAATTGGTTATGGTCTAAACTGCTATTAATTGGATATGTGGTAGGTAAATAAAATTAGTGAGTAATATGACTTTGGTCAATGAAGAAAGCTAATTGAATATGCCTGTTAGTGACTATAGGTTAGTAAAAACCAGGACAAGTTTAGTTTGAAGTGACGGTGTTATGCTTCATGAATGGAAATAGTTAGGATGTATTGAAATTATAGGGCATGCTTCAATGTGTTTATGAATGTACATCTATTGTGTGGTTTGGAACGTATGATAAAACATTTTCCAAATTACACCTTGAATAACCTTGGTCTTAAGCATCAAGAACATAGCTCAATGTCAAACAAATCACATAGGATTGATGCAATGGAAGGAGATCCTAGCCTATGAGACTTGCCAAACCAATCAACAAGAATCTAAGCGCAAAACCCTAGACTCAATGATATGCATGCAATCCATAGCAACCAAAGACCATAGTCCAAGAATTAGGGTTCAATGAACTTGAATTTGGTTAAACTTGTTTTTCAGGTGAACCAATTTTCCTTTTCAACCTTTGCATACTTGAGTCTAATCGAGCCTTTTCGATATTGAGTTGTGAATCCCACCACTTATAATGAACAAGTGCAACCACCAAGTCCATAAAGAATTGGTAAATCAAATGGGTCCCTCTTGACTGACCAAATGAATGCTTACCATCCCTGAATTAACTCCAATGCCTAGATTCAACCCAGATGATCCAAAGACCAAGAATCAGGGTTTCATGGCCTTGAATTCAAGAGAATTGTCACCATTAGTTAGTGCATCATGGATGAGATGATGCTATTGAATATGCAAATGATGTAGTCATAGGACAAATAGAAAATTTAAAAAAAGTTGAGGCAAATTTTGGGGTATGACAGTGCTTAGTGTAGATTTTTGGCATAGTAATCCCTTTTGATTAGTTGATCAAATTTTATTTTGATTAATTAATTACATGTTGTGAATTAGACCTTTTATGTGATTTCTCCCTATTAATTGCATGCTCCCTTAGGTTGCCATCCACATTTAAGTGATAATAAGTCTCTTGATCACTTAAATTTGATTAGATATTTAGCTTGATTCCATACTTGATCCTTTTGATCATCCATCCATCATTTCACCATTTCAAAATCCTAGAACCAATTGCACGACAACTTGGTGCTTTACCCCATTCACATTTATTTCCTTTTCCTTACCCATCAAAGACTAAAATCTTTTACAAATAAATTCAAAAACACTTAAAAATATGATTAAAATTGTGTGCCATGAGTCTTAAGTAAAGGAGAAGAATGAGAGAGATTATTCCTATCCTTGTTCTGAGTATCTTTGAATACGAGACTTAGGCACCGGTTATTCAAAGTATTCGCCTCCGTTCATAGACTTTAGTGCAATTCAAATCAAGACAATCTTTTCAAAAGCTAAAATCAATCTCAACTCATCAAATTCAGTTTTTTGGCTTTAGGGCATTCAAAAACCTTTCAAAAAGGACATGTTATTTATCTTCTACTGCAATACAAACAACGTTTAAGCCTCCCATGCGCGAGCATAAAAGCAACATTTAACTGCTAGAATACGATTCAAACACATGCATTCTACCGCAAACAAACTCTTAAGTTTCTCATGCGTGAGCATACAAGCAACGTTTAAATGCTAGAACACGAACATTAACACTGTTCAATAAAAACATTCAACAAAAACTCATTTTATACCCTGAACTACGGATCTCTGATTTCCTTATTGTACTATGAGGATACGTAGGCACAATATTGCGAGATCTTGGCGAATGCACTACTTTAAAACCTTTTTTTCCCCTTTTGCAAGTAACCTTTAGATAATAATGTTCATTCACGCATAGAACAATCAAAACGGTTCCCGTTGAGTACAATAGATGTGAGAGATGCTAATATCTCCCCTTTGCATAACCGACTCCCGAACCCAAATTTGGTTTTCCTCACCTTTTAGGGATTTTATCGATATTTTCCATTTCCTTGGAAATAAATAAAGTTCGGTGGCGACTCTGTATTTTTTGTGTAGCGGCGGCAGGAACAAAAACTTCTGGCATATGACATGTTTTATCAGGAATATATTAAAAAAGTCAAGTACTGGTCTAATGAGGTCGTTCAAATCATAAATCTAGAAGGAAAAAAAATACTTAGACAGAAATCCAAAGTTAATTGGCTGAAATTGGGTGATGGAACAATGCATTTTCATGCTACTATAAAAGAAAAGAACAAACAAACTATATTATATAAGCTAGCTGATCAACGTGGTAAAATCCTTAGTGACTTTAAAGAAGTTGAAAGGAGATTTTAAAGTTTTATGGGGAGCTTATTGGAACATCAGCCCAAAAGTTGTTACATGTAGACATAACAACAATTAGAAGCAGTGCTCAGTTACATGGATAACATAAAGAAATCCTCATCCAACAAATCACTGGACATGAGATTTGGAGTGCTCTTAAAAACATAGGCGATAATAAGGCTCCAGGAATTGATGGGTACAATGCAAAATTGTTCAAAGCAAGTTGGAAGGTGATAAAAAATGATGTTATAACAACTGTCTAGGACTTTTTTTTAACACAAAAGATTATATCCAGCAGTCAACTATGCACCGGTAACTCTTATCCCAAAAAACCCTAATACAAAAACAATGAAAGATATTAGGCCTATCGCTTTCTGTACTACAATCTATAAGATTATCTCAAAGATCCTTACAATAAAACTTAGCAAAGTGATTACAATATTGGTGGATGATAGTCAATCAACCTTTGTTTCTAGTAAAGTCATACATGATAACATCATCATAGCTTTTGAGTTATTAAAAGGTTATAATCAAAAACACATATCCCCTAGATGCCCTATTCAAGTGAACCCTCAGAAGGCCTATGACATAGTGGAATGGGCAGCATTGAAAGTCATCATGAAAGAAATGAGTTTTCCAACAAAATACATAAACTGGAACATGAAGTGTATAACTACTGTATCTCACATATATGTCGTCAAGGGCCAAAATAATGTGTGAGCAAAAATATGCAGGGGGTTTGAATGTGACATCTTTGTTAAATTTGGAAAAAAAGTAATTTTCTCTCCAAAAAAAAATATATATTGGCTTGTTAATATTTTTACACATAACAAAATATTAAAAATATATAAATTCTCTTATTAATATTTTTTTAAATATTTCCTTTCCCCTTATCTTCCTCTCTATTATATCATCCTTTCAGTCCCACTCGTGTGGCTTCTATCTCTCACAATCTTCACCACAACAGTAACCAACCATGGCTGTATCCTTAGGTCTCAACATAGCAACCGCATTCAAATCCCTTTCTTTATCTTCCCCATCATCTTCATCTTTATCTTCATCTTCCTTTTTATCCGGTTCTTCCTCTCTTCGTTTCACTCCATCAGTATCTCTCCCTCGGATTCATAGGTTAGTAATCACCATCCAGAATGCTCACAAAAAGGGAGCCGGAAGTACCAAAAACGGCCGTGACTCCGCCGGAAGACGTCTCGGAGTCAAAGTTTACGGCGACCAAGTCGCTAAACCTGGTTCCATCATCGTTCGCCAACGCGGAACCAAGGTGTGTGCATCACTCATTCTTATCTCTTCCATTTTTTAATTTTGAATTAGGGGAAAATCGATTAATTATCATGAATTGTTGTATGAATGTGAAATTATGTACTTGATTTTTCATTAGGAGTGATATTCTGTGTGAATTGAAAAAAAAACTGGAAATGAAATTTTGTCTAATTTGTATTGAATTACTTGAAAATTTAGTTTCAAGAGAATTATGAATTATCATCTATGTAGCACTGAAGAGGTACGTTAGTGTCCAAAATCCGAAATCGACACTGACACTTCTGGTTACATTTAAAATTTTCATTTTTCAAAATATTATCGGTGTCTATTATCAGCATCGATGTGTTACTGTCGACATCGTGTTTCCGGTATCCGTGCTTCATAGATTATCATTGGATTGGATATATGAGTCTGATGCATTGGGTTTTAATTCCCTTAATCCTTTGGTTCTCAGTTAAGGAACTCTGTTAATCCGGTTTAATTCCCTTAATCCTTTGGTTCTCAGTCAAGGAACTCTGTTGATCTAGTTTGGCTCGGCTAAGTAAAATATGATTAATGATCGTTTCAGTTGGGATTTGAACTTAGTGGTTCTCCGGACCGATCTTCTTTAAGTAAAGTGCGTTATTGATTAGGAATTTATAAGTAAAAACCTTAGTTGATTGAGAAAGAATGTAGGAGTGGAAGTTTGTGGCTTAATGTGGTCTTTTGGTGTGAGTTTTCAACTATGAAGCTTGGATTTTTATACGATACGGAGATGCGAGAAAATTTTAAAATTTACGATACGATATAGATAAGATACTTTAAAAAATTAAGCCCTACTAGATTAAAATCCACATCCCGGTTCCAGGTATGTATCGGGCTGTATTGGTGTTTGATAGTGTCAGATACGTTACTTTGGCAATTTTGAAGTATTGGGGCTTTAGAGGTTTTAATGGTGAATGGAGCTTTTATAATTTGTGCAGTGTTGTGGATAAAGTCTCTCTGAACAGGTAGCTATAGCCTGCTTGCCTTGAACTTTGCAGCTTAGGAATAAGAATTTCACATAAGTTGGCCGTCTCTGCTATTACTTAATGAAGCACGGAGTGGTTTGCTATAGCGGCATTAGCATTTCACAGCCACGAAACTGCTAAATGCTTTATAAAGAAGAAAAAACTTGTTTAGTTATCCAATTATCAAAACTAATTGTTGATTATGAATATTTAAAAAATATTAGTATTATTTTAATTTTCAGCATTATACATATGGTTTAATGATTTAATAAAAAATTTGAATAGCAGTCATGCTGCAACTGCTATCACACTATAGTGTTTTTTAGGCTACACATTACCCGCTTGCCATCCGGTATTGATAACTTTGATTTGGATTTGGCTGCTATCTGGTGTTGATAACTTTGATTTGGATTTGGTCGCTATATGGTATTGATAACTTTGATTAGGATTTGGTCTTGATTTACCTAAAGCTCTCAATTAAAATTCTTTACAATTCCCCCCTTATAGAAAAGTATTTCCAAGTTTATGGATGTTATTATGTTTATGAATAGGTTAAATGTGAGAACTTTTGAAAATTGAGATGCATCATACTGTTGTTTGAAAAAAGTCACAGTTACTGCAAGATTTTTTTCTTTCTTCTATAAGCGTTTCGCAAAATATTTATCTGAACTGTCTCCTCGGCATACAAGGTCAATAAGAATGAGCGAGGAGTGTCTACTTTCCTATGTATGGGCTAGAAACCAATATAAAATAGAACTAAGAATGAATAATCTTTTTCGAATCGTTGAGCCGCATTGTGTAATTGACAATGTGGGATTGCTACTGAATCTTTTGATTGTTACTTACTTAGTATGGTAAAGCTATAATCTTATTCCATAACTTTTATTCCACACTTTGCTGACCAGAGGAATTTCTTTATTTTTGTTCTATATTGAGAATGATGACATATATTAGGCAGTAATGAGGGTGTTATTATTGTCACAGTTTGTTGTTAATCTATGCCCTTGTCATACTAGTTATATTGTTTTATTAAAATCTAGTTTTTCTTAGAGTTCTAATTATGTTTTTTTTTTGTGCAAAACTTGAAGTTTCATGCAGGAAAGAATGTGGGGATTGGTAAGGACCATACAATTTTCTCCCTGATTGATGGAGTTGTTAAATTTGAGAAATATGGCCCTGACAAGAAAAAGGTAATAATATTTTGCAGCTTGATTTATGTGGCCTATAATCATAAAGTACAAAAAACTTGCTAATGAAGCTGTAATAATATGACAGATCAGTGTTTACCCACAAGAAGTTACGCCTCCAAACCCCGATAGCTATAGAGCAAGGAAGATAGAGTACTTCAGGATGAGGCGTGAGCGCAAAAAAGCTGCACAAGAAAGAAGAGAATTTCGACCGCAGCTGGTGCTTGCTTCCGCCGATGGTGCCGCTGATGATGCCGCAATAACTAATCTAGATTGTTGATTCTATACTTCATTCATTTCTGTGTAAAATTTAGCCGTCTTCTGATGTTTTTCTTGAGTATCTGTTAAACCTTTAGCATTGTAATATTGTCTTTGTTTGTTGGACAGAGAAATTGAACCATACACGGCCAATACTAGTACTTATGTGTCCACAAACAAATTACAAGACACTATATTCATTTATTTTCAATTTGTTCTGATGTTTTTCTTTTGTGTATTTAAACCTTTATGTTTGAATACATTCATGCAAAAATGAGTTAAAAAGAAAGTTTAAGTGTAAAAATCACTTTCTCAAACGCTATAGATCCTACTTTCAACTAGAATCAATTTTGAAGGCCATAATCACATCAAAATCAATTTTACACCTTAAAAATCGTTTTTTGCCACTTTTAAAATGGAAACTCACATACATTGCTTCAAGTCTGTTTTGATTTTTTATTATGATTTTGGTGTTTTTCACACACAATAAGGCACCTGAGTTGCATGAAGACAATTTCTCATTTGATCAAATTTGAAATGCATCTATCTAAATCTATTAAAATTTAAGGGTAATAACTTTCTTCAACACTTCACAGACAAACTCACAGCGAATTTGTTTATTAACAAAACATCGAAAACTACTAATCATCATCGAAAAACTTTGAGTGAGTGATTTATTCGGGTGAATCCTCCATCAACCATAAGATTCTCTCCACTGATATACTTTGCATCATCACTTGCAAGAAAAAGCACAGCATTAGCTACATCATCAGCAGTTAACTCTACACCCTGCAAGTTCGCGTTTTTCCCGACGAAAGAACGAAATCCCGCCATTGCATCCTCGGTTCTCTCCTCCTCGGGCAAATGAGCCAAAGCCAAACCTGTTGCAACACAATACGGCGACACACAGTTCACTCTTATTCCATGGTTCCCCAATTCAGCTGCAACATTCTTTGTTATCCCCCACACAGCATGCTTGGAGCCTGTATACGCATGAGGCCCCACTCCTCCTAAGGAACTTGCAACACTTGAGATAGAAATTATTGAGCCACTTTTCTTAGGGATCAGAAAATGAGCAGCATGTTTCATTCCATGGAAAACACCTTTCACATTTATGCCAAATACTTTGTCGAATTCAGACATGTCCACGTTGCGGATATCAGGACAAGGTGCTCCAGAAATTCCAGCATTGTTGACCATGATGTCTAGAGTGCCGAATTTACCAACAGTATTGTATACTGCATCCGAAACATCAGTCTCTACCACAACATCACAATGAGCAAAATAAACATTTTCCGGATCACAAAAGGAATCACAGAGCTTCTGTCCAAGGTCGTCTTGGACATCGGCTATACAGACTTTAGCACCGTGGAAATGGAACAGGCGGACAATGCTTTCTCCGATCCCGGAGGCTCCACCAGTTACCACAGCCACTTTGCCTAATAACCTGACAGAGAGATATAACAGAAATTATTAGCACTAGCACTAGTAGGATTCGAACCGGAGATATAGAGAAACACACTCTCGCGACCCAAGCATTCACCAGCGTGCCAACACCTAGGTTAAGCTTGTTACTATCTATATATTTAGGTTAACAAATCAAAGAACTGTTCACAAACAGAAAAAAGTTTTAACAAAAAAACAAATAGAAGAGTTCAAACAACCTTAACAGATCTCATCTTGTTCATTTTATTTCTCAAAATTATCAAACTGAGACTAACAATTACCATAAGAAACTGCATGTAAGAAATAGATTCAAAACTCAAAAAACAAGAACTATGAAGAACAAAGTAATGTTGTGAAGTGAATATTACCTTTGTGCTGGAGCATTGATTGTAGTTGACATGGTTAAGACGTGTTAGGTTTCTCTCTCTTGTTCTACAGTTTGTTGATGATAGTAGTGTTGGTGGCTCACAATATTTCATTTTCTACATTCTATTTTTTTTCTTCTTTTTCATAAATTCTACATTCTATTCTATTTGAGTGGGTACTTTTAAAATGTGACGTTTTTGCTTTTCATTAAAATTGGAATAATGCATGAAAAAAGAAACATTAACCTATAGAATACATGGATTTATTTTTGAAAGAAAATGTGAAGTATTAATTAATATAGAAATTAATCACTTATCAATAAAGGTAGTGAATGGAAAGGTATCTATATAGGTCCACATGTGTTGGGATAAGGATATATAGTTGGTTCTATATGATAGTAAAAAGAATCTTTCATTAAAGCATTAAATAGAATGAAAAAAACAAATTAGATAAACAAACTAATAATCATGTAGATGATATAATTTTATGCTCTCATAATCTTTTTTATCGGTTTCCATTAGTTTCTAAGAATTTGATGTAGTTATGTCACAGTGGGACGGTAATAAAAGTTTAAGTTTATATAGATATAACTTTTTCTTTTTAAAAAGATTCTGAAATTTTCTTAGAGTCAACTTGAGAATCATATTTGATCAATTTCATCGTTTTAAATCTCTAACTTGTAATTTTGTTTTTATTTTATGACTCTGATTGTTAAGGTTAAGTCCATATCTCATTTGTGAGATTTTAGACCAATTTTTCTGATAGAATCTTTGTACAAGTCGGTGGTTAAAGTGTTAGCCATTAGACTTGGGTCTGGTTAGTCTGAGATTTTTGACTCGACATGTTCGATAAGAGTGGAGGTGAGATAAATATACGTGCGATGTACAAATAACTATATCATGTTTTCGAAACCAAAGTCACAAGGTTTGATAGGGAGATTTCTCGACAGAGGCAGTTGGAAGACCTAAATCTCGACAAAGACAGTTAGTGTTGGAGAAAAACAAGTCATAGAGAAAAAAAAACATGATAACACAAGAAATTAATGTGAAAATTCTAAAATCGGAGAAAAAATCACGAGCGTTGTTAAATGACAACCAGAGAATAACACTATGTAAAAATTGTTACAACACATAAACTACCCTTAACCACCCCAAAACCCCAATACACCCACACTCTCCAAAGCAAATATTTAACTACCTCTCACAACATTATAAAACAAGAGTAAGAGGGAAAAAGGTAACGTTAAGTCTATGTGACACGAAGACAAATACGACACTATACCTACATGCAATAGAGTAACTCATATCAGGAATCAACATTCATTTTTCTCTACTCTACGCACCCAAGTGTTTTACTTTTAAGGAATTCCTAACTTTATAGACCATATCATAAAACCAATTGGAAAACAATATAGGGTGTTGAAGCACTTGAGTATGTAACTGTATTCGAACCAACAACCATGACTATTTGCCCTATCAAAGTAAAACTGAAGTAGTGCGAAAACCACAATTTCTATCATCACCCACATCAACAATTTCATCAATATATGGATGCAAGGAACCAGAAAACTGAGACAAATAAGGATGCCTCGAAGATGTAGTAGAAGATTAACTTTGACCCGACATACTTGTATGTATATACAATATTTAATATATTATGTTTTAACTTAAAATTTTTAAATCATTTATTAGTTATTATTATTATTATATTAAAAATTTAATAAAGATTATCACATAATTGAGTTTAAAATTAATTAAAAATATATTAAATGTTATAATTATATTAAATATTATAATTAAATTAAATATTTATAAAAATTATAATAATATGTTCAAAATAAAACAAACCCATAAATAATTAAATGTCTAAAAAAAACATGGAGAGATATACATACAAGCCGCCACTAGCGCCTCTACGCCCACGCCCTCGGATCCGGAGCCGGAGCCGGTGTCGCCGGTGGCGACACCGGCGAGGGGTGTTTTGTATGAGACAAGTGACATAAGACTTGGGACCACCACATATAACTATGTAGCATTTTATCCTCTTTGGCTCCTTTGGAAATTACATTGTTCCAAGGGCCTTATAAATGCTATTTAATTTTACTCCACTTCCAATGTGGGACTAATTACAAGCATTTATTGTCAATTAACTATATCACCCACTTTGTCATTTTGGAACAATCTAATGGAAATAAATCTATATTATTTCCAACAATCCCCCACTTGTTCTAATAATGACAAAATAATAATTCCAGAAATGAGACATAAGAAGTATTAATACAGTTAAGTATCTTTCGATTTTAAACTTAACCTTAGTAAGGATAACACAAGGTTTAATCGGAATATTAGGTAGCAATGCTTTTAAACCATGAATCCATATGAATATATCGGTGTTACTTTACACACACTCCTTAAAGATTCTTCCTCTGCATAACTCGCTTAGCACTTATTTATGGTCATGTGCTATCCTGTTTCATGAATTTTTATGAGAGAAACTCCAACTCTCACTTTGAGACGACACCATCTCAGAATTCATATAGGTGAAGTTCATATTGTATCTGTTTCCAATGGATACGTACCCTCGGTATTGAACTTCATTAAAAGTTTAAAATAAACTCAACCCTCATTTCTAATGTCAACATAATTACGAAATGTTAGACAATCATCCAAATCAACGACTTGTTATTACCCATTGAAAATCTTAAAGTTAATGTTCTGTTAACTTAAGATTGGGTTGCCGCCATTGTCGGAACTCTTACTCAAGGAGTTTCAACCCCATACCTCTCGAGGTTGTTTTTACTAAGTCTCTGGCGAGTGGCTTAGTAAACGGATCAGCCAAATTATAGCTTGTTCGTATATACGTAAGTGAAATGATTCCATCCTTAATCAGTTTTCTTACGAACGAATGTCTAAGTCCTATATGCCTAGACTTTCCATTATACACTTCGCTAAATGCTCTTGCCAAAGTGGACTGACTATCGCAGTGTATCATCACTTTTGAAATATTGTCTTTATCCAATGGAACTTCCAAAAGAAGATCCCTCAACCACTCTGCCTCTTGACTAGCGGAAGCGAGAGCCACGAACTCTGATTCCATGGTCGAAAGAGTGATGCATGTTTGTTTCTTGCTCTTCCAAGAAATTGCTCCTCCAGCCAGTGTAAATATCCACCCAGTTGTAGATTTATGGTCTCCCACATTAGAGATCCAACTCGCATCGGTATATCCTTCTAATATAGCAGGAAACCTACCATAATGAAGGCCAAGATCTTTGGTTTTCAATAAATAACCAAATATCCTCGTGATTGCCTTCCAATGTTCATTACTCGGATTACTAGTAAATCTACTCATTTTACTAACTGCAAATGAGATATCGGGTCTGGTACATTGCATTAAGTACATCAGACATCCAATCGCACTTGCATATTCTAATTGAGCCACTGCTCTTCCATCATTCTTTTCAAGTTTGATTACATGATCAAATGGAGTAGTTACTTCCTTGAATTTCAGGTGTTTGAACTTATCAAGCATTTTCTCTATATAATGTGTTTGATTAAGTTCATAACCCCCACTATTTTGCTTAACTTTTATTCCTAAAATTGTGTCAACAAGTCCAAGATCTTTCATCTTGAAAGTGGAAGTCAGAAATCTTTTTGTTTCTATAATTCCATTAAGCTTATTGCTAATTATTAGCATGTCATCAACATAAAGACACAAAAATATTACGGTGTTATTATACACTTTTGTATATAAACACTTGTCACAAGAATTAGGAATAAATCCATTTGACATTATCGTAGAATCAAACTTTTGATGCCATTGTTTTGGTGCTTGTTTTAAGCCATATAGAGATTTGACAAGTTTGCACACCTTTTGTTCATTTCCAGGAAGAACGTGTCCTTCTGGTTGTTCCATGTAGATTTCCTCATCGAGATCTCCGTTTAGGAATGCTGTTTTAACATCCATTTGATGAACAATCAGATCATTCAAAGATGCTAAAGCAAATAACAACCTTATAGTGGTTGTTCTTGCTACAGGTGCATAAGTGTCAAAATAATCTATACCTTCCTTTTGTCTAAATCCCTTTGCCACCAATCTTGCTTTATAAGTGTTTAATGTACCATCACTATGATATTTCTTTTTAAACACCCACTTGCATCCAATAGGTCTTGAACCCTTTGGTAAATCAACAAGTTCCCAAGTGTGGTTGGACATAATTGAATCCATTTCATCTTGGATAGCATCTTTCCAAAAAGAGGAGTCTCTTGAAGCTATTGCTTCCTTATAAGTTTTAGGATCTTCCCCTACTTGAAGAATTACCAGAATGCTTTTAATATACTTTGTAATATTTCCTTCAACCAGATAAAATGAAATGGATTGAGAATCAATTTCGTCTGGTCCTAGATTCTTTATTTTCCGGACTCTTTTGCTTATCCTAGGTTCGGGTTGTGGTTTAATAATTCGAGATGTGCCTTCAGGTTGTATTTCTACAATCCGAGAAGAGTCTTTTTCACAAGATTCTTTATTTATGGTCGACTCTGATTCTTTATCCTTAGTGATAAGTTTTTCAAAGAATTCTACATCCCGGGATTCAACAATAATATTAGACTCTAAATTTAAAAGTCTATATGCCTTGCTATTTTGTGCATATCCTATAAAAGCACATTTTATCCCTCGAGGACCCAACTTGGTTCTCTTAGGATCCATGTTTTTGTAGTATGCCACACACCCCCACACCTTAAAATAACCAATGTTTGGTGTCATGCCCTTCCATACCTCATATGGAGAAATTCCAGTTTTCTTTAAAGGAATTCTATTTATTATGTGACAAGCGGATAATAAGGCTTCGCCCCACAAATTGAAAGGTAGTTCAGAATGCAGTAACATTGCATTCATCATTTCTTGATATGTTCGATTCTTTCTTTCGGCTATGCCATTTTGTTGTGGTGTTCTAGGTGCCGAACATTCATGTATTATACCGTGTTCTTCACAAAATGCATCAAATTCAGTAGAAAAGTATTCACCGCCTCTATCACT